ATGCCCGGTGCTGGCATCGGCCCCGCGGAGGCCTGGCTCAACGGTTGACACCGCGCTTCTGCCTACCATGAGGTTTCTTCCTCTGCATCACCCCCGATGGCTCACGGCTCACGGTTTCCCTGTCCCGGTGCCTATAGCTGGCTTTACATCCTGCAAATGGTGGGTTGCAAATCCAGCGCCAGGAGGGACAGAGGGCTTTACACGATGTTTTCTTACACCATTTGTCCCAGTAACAGGAGGGTTAACATGGACGAAAAATTGCCCGACTGCCACTGGAAGCCTTTAGCAGCATTGCCCTATGCATCCCGGGAGGGTAAAGCCATGCGTGGGCTGCCATGCTGCCCGGAGCCCTGCGAAGCTTCCCAGGGGCATCTCAGCTCAGGTGAAAACCAGCCTAATTCAGCAGACAAGGTTTTGAGCTTCGCTGCGCCTTTGTTCTGAGGGTGCAGCATCTGGTTTAGAATAGTTAGTGGAAACATTTCCTCTCTTAGGCTGCTTTTGAAGTTGTGTCATTACTTTTTCTTAATGAAACATGCAAATGCTGTGATTGCGTCTCAAGGAATTCAGTCCTGACACAGCTCTGGTTGCAAATATCTGACTGGCATGTAATTTAGGGCAGATCCATCCTCATTACCTTTTTCCTCCTGATTTCTTATTGCTCAGAATATATTTTCCTAGTGCTGGACTGCTGGGAAGCCCACTTGGTAGTGGTCCTTTTTAGCATACTATGGCAAGAGGGGAAAAGAAAAGGCTGGGTTTTATTAAACAGCGAATCTGAAGATGATTGCAGTGGTACGGCATGACCTGCTGTTGGCAGATTGCCGTGGGAGGGCTTTGACAAGCCAAGAAGAAACCTCCCGCCTTGGCCACTGATGGCTCACGGTCCCATTCAGTGATGCTGAATTGCATGTGCTGAGATCGCTTTTCACTGCACTTCTGAAGGCTTCGCTTACACAGGATTTATACCTTCTGCCTTCAAAATAGTAGAAAACTATCGGTATTAAACTCTTTCTAGAAAGCTCATGATAGCAGTATTTTGTGGTTTTACTTTTAGCTGCAATGCTCACTGCTTCAGGTTTACATCCTGACAGCAAATTTCTTTTCCCTTTTTAACCTCCTCAGTGTGCACAGATGTCCCAAACCCCTCTGGTGAGGGGCACTGCACCCACGGACAGGCTGTGTCAGCCCTTCTGCACCCTCGCATGCCGCCGCTGCCGCCCAATTTTGCAGTGATTTGACAGAAGATGACATGCAAGCGAAGAGCCTGCCCGAGTGGCTGGTGCAGCCAGATGGCTGAAGACACATGTTGTAACCACAGTCTGTGCAGAAGGTAAAATGAGCTGAAGGGGTTTTTTATCCTGTGTGGAGATGGGGCGGGCATGGCCCGGCCATCAGCATCACCTCCTGGGCAGCCAGCAGGCAAGTGCCGGCATCGCTCTCCCCCAGCTGCCCAAAAATTCAAGGTGGAAGAGGTAAAATCTGACCATTTGCAGGTGAGCGCAGGCAGGGGCTGGGTTACCCTTTAGGGCCGACTTGTGCAAGTAACAGGCATCGGCCTCGCTCCTCTGGCCACCGGTATTGCAGGAGAAGTTCAGCGTCACGCTTTCATTGCGCACGTGCTACCAAATGGCATCTCCAGCCAGCACTGCAGGTGGTAAAAAGCCAGCTTCTCAGTAAAATGACTAGACCCCATGCTGGAAGGGGGGATAAATACCCTTTATTCCACACCCTTTACTGAACCTTAAGCAGCCCAGGAACCATGGCCCCTGTTGGACCCGGCCTGTTCAGCATCAGAGCGCTAAAAATATTTCAAAATACCTATCTCGAAATTGTTCAGCATGCTTTGGTTGATAAGCCATCTAACCTCCCAGCGGCATATTCAGGCCAGCACCCAGATACACATGAAAGTGATGGTAGCCACTGCAGCACTTACTGGCTTTTCAGAGGTTAACTTGAGCTGGCCAAGGAGTCTGCTCACGCTACACGGCTTTGGCAGGGGTCTGAGCCCGATTCTTCCCATGTTTTCACAAAACATGAACTGCCGAGCCCACAGACAAGGCTCTTTAATGCCTGTGGTTCATCAGCTCTGCACCCTTGATGCTGGGACCCTTTCGCAGCACAGGGCAAAGCTTTGGGGATCCCCAGGAGCTTTTAAACTTCCAGCCTTCGAGTATCACCATCCTGGGGCTTTCTTAGCCTAAACCCATATGCATCTATCAACCAATCGCAGATATCTGGAAGGAATCACCAGTATCATTATTCTGTACACTGTGACAAATTCTTTTATGTTTTCATGGAAAAAAACCCCACAGTAAGTGAATATTTGCCAAGCCCAGCTGTGCAAGTCAGGCAGATTTTCAAGCATGCACTGGCATAAAGGTTAAACACTCAGTAATTCAAGTGTCTTCTACAGTAATAAAACTTCTTATGATGTATCAAGGAGCAGCTGCTGCCCTTGCTTAGCAAACATAACTGTCTTCTAAAATTATTTTCTATTCATAAGACTTAGAGAGAATAACGTTTTCAAGTTAACGTAACTCAGAGCTGATGACTTCTGTCCCTTAAGCTTTTTCTACTGCTTTCATTATAACACTTTAACGCTTGCAGTAGAAAACAGCTGAAAATGCATTTCTTGTATTGCGAGTGATGCAAAAAATGCCTTTCGCAGATGTTTGATGTCACAGATGTTCAGTACCGCAAAGCTTAACCAAAGTACACCCTAAAAAGGGATGTGATGTTAAAAAAAAAATCGCTTACACTTTTCAAAGACATACTGAACACATACATGAACACAGTGCTGATTTCAGTATGATTTCAGCTTTGCTGATATATTTGCAGTCAGTACAATGGAGTCACTCCTACAACACGTACGCACATATAGCTGATAGAATCGTAGAATCATAGAATGGTTTGGGTTGGAAGGGACCTTAAAGATCATCTAGTTCCAACCCCCCTGCCATGGGCAGGGACACCTTCCACTAGACCAGGTTGCTCAAAGCTCCAATCCAAATAGGCATTTGGATCTTCTACTGAGTTCATAGTTTTTATGAAAGCTCCCTTTTAATGGCCAAGAAGTGAACAAAACAACCCTGCCCACAAACCTGAAGACAAGCAGCATGTCCCAGAGATGCCTTCGGGCACTGCTGCTTGCTGTCCCTCCTGCTGTCCCCAGTGCTGAGCTCTATTACCGCTGCCCGGTACCTTTGCAGGGACATCAAGGGCCGTTTGACTTTCAACATCAATTAGTTCAGGCAAGTTAGGCATCTAGTCAAAGTTCCAAGGTGCTCATCTACTGACTTAATAGACTGAAAACTCACTACTAGCTCTTTTCTACAGCTATACCCAACCCAGCTGACACTCCTCTCTGTTCTTCAATTAAACGTAGGAACCCGAGTGAAGCAAGCAGCACCTGGAGAAGCCAGCCCACCCGGTAAAGTGTCGCACACAAACAGGGAATGACTATAAAATACCATTTTTATTTTTTTTTTAACCATCATGTTGAAATAGAGGTCAGTGGAAGCCAGAGGGCATTTGCCCCAGTTACAAGCAGTCTGCGCTGGATGTGATTTAGCTGATGCTATTAGCCTGGGAGAGACCCAGAAGGCTCTCTTCTAGGAAATGCTCCATGAGAACTGCTCCGTGCTTAGATGCAGCATTTGCAGGCCTGGATATCGACAGGGTTTTGTTTGTTTGCTTGTTTTAAAGAAAGGCTTTTTAAGCAGAGTTAAAACGCATTCACACCAGAGCAGCTTTAATGGGTACACACAGCGAGAGGAGCACTCAGTCTAGCAGGCAAGCACACACCAAACCACAGCGTGCATTTTGTAACATCATCCGGGCAGGCTCAGAGGCTGTTTGTTTTCCCCCTTTGTCTTAAAACACAATTTGGCAGCCCTCAGTGGCCAATCCATCCCCTGGAGTGTGCAGCTCCCTGCCCAGGAGAAGCAGCAGCCGCCCTTACAAAGACCTCAGATGGTCTTTTAATCTGGCAGCGATTTAATTGCAGCTCTTGCTCCAGGACAGTTTCAAAGAAGACAGCTCAAGGGTCCTGACTACAAAGAGCTTTGGAGCGGGCATTTTGACAATAAACTGTTCTCACCATTGTTCAGGCTCCCCCTTTCCGAAGGCAATGACTCAACAACACCAGGACTGGCAGGGAGCCTCCAGCTTCTCAAAAACTGGGTAATGAGATTACGGGAGCAGCTCGCAAGGCTTTTGCTCTTCGCTGCAAAAGAAACCTCTGCACGGTAAGAACTTCGTGTGCCTCTTTGCGGCCTTCTGATTAAGAGCATCTCTTGAGGGCTGGGTTGGAGACCGTCTGGTTAGGAAGCCTGGGGTATCTCAGGTGAAAAACTACAGAGGGACAAAATACGAATCCGAGAGGATTTTAACCCCTCATGGATAAGTTGTTACCCTTCAGATATCAAGTAATGACAAAGGAAAGGCAAAAAGCTTGCGTTTTACCATTTTATGGTGGCTTCACAAGCAGAGAAGAAATAACACGTTAAATATTTGCCTTTAGCAAATATACAGATTGTAATATTTAAGAATGTGTTTGCTCCAAGTTGTTTACACAGTCAGAGATCATTTTCACTGAGAAAATCCGTGTGTGGTATTTAATCCTGTAAAAACTTAGGTCAGGACGTGCCTCCTCTCTGAGAGGAGAGGACACTTCTTTGCAGCTTTCATTCCTCTTGCAGAGAAGACGGTCGAATAACGGGACATGGTCCTAGAGGGTCATCAAAATTTGTCTCTGCTCATGCAGTAGCAGTTGACAAGGAAGGAGTAGGAATGAGGAAAAACGCACGCAAACCCCTGGAGTCTAAAAGTAAATTTAAAAGATTGTACTGAGGAGGTCTTCAGGGCTTGTCAAAGTGAAGGTTGCCACCCCTACATCAAGACTGCCAGTTCCCTTGAAAAGACCAGCCTTACGGCTCCCGCATGTATTTATGCAGAGATTTATTAACTGCAGTTATACAACATGAACCTCAGGATTCATCTCCTTGAGATATTTATTTTAATTAAAATCAAACTGTTTGGGAAACACAATACATATTTCCCTCTACATTTCTCTCCATCTAGTTTCAGAAGAGCAATTCTACGGGATACAAACAGTCCTAGGCACCACGCAGCGTATTAGACGATGTTTAAATCTCACACCCAGCAGTACAGTCTTAACTCTAGTAAAGCAGAGCAGGAATAAGTTTACATTTATGAAAAATGTAACTGAGTTACACGCAGGCTTCCAAGAAGGACTTAGATGGGAATTAGCTTGAGTTTAAAAGTTAGAGAAGTAAAAAAGCAAGTACACAAATCAAAGTACACAGTTCTTCACAGTTATCTCAGAGGCGATGGGAGTGGTGGTTGAAGAAAATCAGCTCCAGAGAGCAGCTGCTCACGAGGTGGAAAATGCCAAAATATCCAGTTTCAGCACCTAAAGGCTACACAGGGGGAGAACTACTCTACCAGGATCGTATCAACACTTTCTTGGATGAGATCCGACTCCAGTATACATTCATCTAAGTGGTCTTGGGATAAACTGGAGCTCTTCCCCACGCTCTCACTGTCACAGTAAGGACGAAACCTGGGGGTCGCGGGGCTCTCCAGCCGCTGGCAGCGGCTGTACTTGTGCTGTTTCCCTCTGTGCGTGTACATGTGCTCGAGCAGCTGACTCTTCCGGAAAAACGTGCGGCCACAGACGGTACAACTGATTTTTCTCTTTCTCGAGAAAGAAAAGTTACAGTTCAACTCTACCGGTTCGTGGTCCTTGGAGATGAGGGAGAGCTGGCCGATCTGCAGAGGCTCCAGGTCGCTGCAGCTCGGATGCTCCAGATGATGCTCGTCCTCTTTGAGGAGGAAGGCCCCGAGCCGGTGGCCATCCCCAGCCTCCCTGTCCTCAGCCAGAGGCTGCACCTCCCCCAGGTCGCTGCTCTCCAGGATGGAGGCCGGCACGCCGAACGGCAGCGAGCCCGAGACGTGGGTGTGCAAGTGCTCCCGCAGCCCCCCCCGGGAGTCGAAACGCTCCCCGCAGTAGTGACACAAGTGCACCTTGAGGCTGGCCTTAGCAAAGATGGGGCTGGCTGCCTCCGGAGAAGGAGGGGGGCGGCTCTGGGACACCACGGGCTCCGAGTCGCACCTCTCCTGCTTTATGGAGACCGAGAG